GATGTAAGAGAGGAGCTCGGGACAGCTCAGCAGTGGTTGCTCGATTTTTTGAGGGATCAAGGGTGCTCGACTGGGAGGGATATTGCGGAGAAGTTTGGGTTGTGGAGAGTTAGGTACAGGGATGATGGGCGAATAGCATGGGTCTGCAGGAGGCATATGCATGCAAGGGCGTATCAGATAGTTGAGGCGCCCATTTGAAATGCATGGCTGGTTTTGGTTAGTTCATAAGTTCAAGTGGCTTCGGCCTTCGGGCCTGTTTGTGAATTGTGATGAGGTATTTTTGTGTTTGCTGGAATTTGTCATGTCTCATTCATAATCGAGCAATTAAGCTGGTTCTTGGGGCATAGGGAGTCAGATGTCTGATTTGTGAGATGCCATTTTAGAAAGAGAACAAGTGATAATAATAATGTATAGTGTAGCCAACTTCAGGATCCAAACAGTGTACCTATGTAAAGTATCCGATAATCAACCACCACAGAACGTGGATCCATATACAAGATTATTATTATTACTAAACATTAAAAAGTTGTGAAACAGGAGTAAGTACAACTGTGCCCAGTACAAACTATGAGCGACTCGGCCGTCAACAAGAGGCTCATAAAACGTACAAGTAAGACATATATATATTACTCATCTTCTAAAACAGGTTAAAAGTACAGAATGCATACAAGAGAGAAGCATCGGGATAACATAAGGCAGGCGCATTCTAGCTGTAAAACTAGGCACCTGTCCTTCCTTTTTTTTTCTAAATTCACCAACGCCTAACGGTCACCTGTGTGAGCTCGCTCCACCAGAAAAACAAACCCCCGCTCAGAAAAAAGCCCTACTCCCGTAAAACACACGAGACCCAGAGTTCTTCGAAGTCGGCGTCTTCTGATCCGATGTGGTCGAGTTCTCGGAGCTGCTCGGCCCATTTTCGTAATCCATAGGAAGCTTCATCTTGGCCAGGGACACTGTAAACTGCTGCATGCTTTTCATGTACATGTCCACTATATCCTGCTGAACCAGCTTCGGCTCTGACTCAATTTGGTTCACACTCACAAGCGGCTTCACATCACCACCACCACCACTCTTGGCATCATCCAGCCCGTTTTCACTAATTTTCTCCTCGGGTTTCTCCTCAGGGCCCAAAACAGGCTCCTTAGAGGTCTTCTCATCAGACTCAGAACTCACCTCAGCAGAAGCAGAAGCAGAAGCAGAAGCAGAAGAGTTGGCCTTCAACTCACTCCCAGCCGACAGGCTCTCCCCAGGCTTGGTGCTGCATATCTCAATGTATTCCTCCACCATCTTGTGATTCTCGTTCGCAACCTTCGGGTCCGGGAACTCCATCCGGTCGAACTCGTTCACAAGGGACGCGATCGACTCGTTTTCCGGGACAACCAAAACTGGTGCAGTAATCGCGATCACGTCCGGGTGGGCCCCGACATAGGAAACTGACAGCTCGACGAACCCAGCTGGAGAGTGGAATAGATCGGTGGACGAGAGTGAGAACTCCTTCCGGAGCTTCGACCCTCCCTGAAGGAGGATCTCGGAAAGGGGAACCAGGGCAAAACCGAGCAGTTGATCCTCCATGTAGTTGCGGACACGGCTTAGCATCCAGATTTCGCACTTGAGGGAGGAGTTGGGGGTTCGGACCGTAAGGCGGAGGCTCTCATCGAAGACGGGGTTGTGACCGCCGCCGTGGATGATTTTGGTGGAGACGGAGTTTTCTGGGTGGCTCGTGAGGCAGAGCTTGGCGTACACGTCCTGCTTCTGGTAGATGCAGATGTTGTGGATGTCGCGGGCATGGTGGATGTACACGTCGAGGGTCGCCAGCTGGCGGTTGTCCTCGTCCTCGTGGGCCCCAATGTCTTTGCTCTGGAAATTGATCTCCATATTCTCTCGGGGAGGATGGGTCTTGAGTGGGGACACGACCGACTGAGGGGAATCCATGAGTGTAAGATATTGAGCTGTAAAAGGAAGTGAATGTTGATATGTGAGGCGAGTGTGTTTTGGATTTTTTGCATGAAAATATTGATACGGTGTGTTTTAGAAAGGAATGGTTTCTTCTGATTGATTGCAGTTAGATGGAATATGATGGATTTTTTTTTTTTCTTCAATCGAAAACAAATGAATCGAAAGGTTGCGAAAGGATTTGATCACTGTATGAATGAGTTCATCCAAATGGATTTTTGCTCTTACTAGATTGAAATCCTTCGATGAGATAGATAACTTAACATCAGTTTGCTACTATTCATCTAAAAAGAAACTACCCCGAAAGAAGAAAATATGGGAAGAGAACAGACAACTAAAATGGAATAAAAGCAAACGCCGTGATTGGAGCTCTCGGGTCCAAATTGGAAGATATATTGACTAATGTGTCGACAAAAGAGACGGCTAGTGATCCAGTCTATGAATGAATATAAATAGAAGACAGCAGTATTGAAATTTTAAATTTGTAAGATGTATGCATGTATATGTGGGTATCACTGGCAACAGTTCCAGCAACAGAGAACAAAGGGAGATTTATATTCTGGAAAAAGAAATAAGTTTTATACGCCATCAGAGTTTATCTAACAAGGTAAGGAAGAGATTAACAATAACCTCTACCACTACCACCACTGCCATTATCATTATCATCATATTACAACTACAACCCCAGCCATGATTGGAACTTTCAAGTTTCGATTTTCAAGTAGAACAGAACAGCTAAAACACAGAACCCAGATCATAATTTAAGCTGGAGGGACAGAACGAGGTATGACAGTCAAAAATTACAAATTCAAGCACATAATAAGGTAGCTTAACACAAGTCATTGAGTATATGAAGAAATATTAACAGAAATTAAAAGACAGAAGTGTTGAATGTGTAAAGATTTATAATAAAGCAACTATTATTCGTATCTGAAATAAAGAACAACACAGTTGATGCAGGCATTGCTACTCCAAATACTAGACATTAGAAAAATGACAAGATGGAAGGGGATATTGATGACTGAGCAACATATACTTATTTGTTTAATTAACTACAATATGACTCACCAGATGAGACCTCACTACAATCCCCAAATTCTTAGGTCNTATTTGGTAAAGCTAATCATACAAAGCGAAGGCAGAATAAAATAATTGGGTTATTTCCTTCAAAGATCTCCAAAGCCCATGTGCAATCCTAAAAGGCAACCATACAATCCTAAAAAACAAAAATGCATACCAAATTAAGATTTCACCGTGTAAAAATAAAGCTACCACCTTTTCCTCACATCTCAGAGAATCATTAGAGGGACGCCTCTTAACAAGCCTCAAAAGACATCAAAAGCCAATTTCAACACTTGACCAAACGAAAACAAGATAAAAGCAAAAGAGAAATTAAAGTAAAAGGAAAAGCCCAAAAAGAGAGGTTAGGCAAAGTATGAATACAAACAGTTAAAGATGAGCTTTTTTTCTTGCCTCAACCTCCAAAGTCAAACAATTGTCTGCACAAACCTTGGGCTAAAATCCAAGCTAATAGAGATGAGCGTTATAGCAAATGAAGAAAGTAAAGTGCTGGAGAGATGAATAAAAGATCTGTGTGGGGATCATGTTGAGGATATGTAAGAGATGAAAATGGGGAGAGTTTACGATTTTTCTGGGTTTTTAACTTTTTGATGGATTTAATAGTCAGGTGATATGGACAGGGCAACCAATGAAAAGGGGTTTAAGTGCGATTCAGAGTTGGGGGAACGGACATGGAGCGTGAGAAGCACGTGCCGTTCGATCAACGATCCTCTCATCATCATCTCTGGTTGAAGATTTGCGTTGTTTCTTCATTGTTGTCATTTTATATTATTTTATGGTAACGATGAAGGGTTGTTGGTATACAAGTGTAACCGTAGAAGAACACTCTTTTGTTGATGAATTGACTTATGTTTCTGATAAAATTCATATAAAATTCATATTCTAGAAAAGTAATATATATTATATTAATTTAAATAAAAGTTTGTGATTTTAAGGGTTCAAATTCTTTCTGGTCCAATTATTATTATTATAGCAGCAATTCCTTTTTTATAAGTATTACCTTTTCAACTTGGATGATACTATAACGATGATAAACGATCATGCCATGTTTTTTTAATGCTAGTACAAATATGAGCTTGTTTATTCAAATTTTTTTTTTTTTCGGGTAGTGTTCACTGAGGCAATTAATTACTATAACGAGATGATATAAATTATTTTGTTCACTATTTAAAGTTCTATTTTAATTTTATCATTTTCATTGGAATTTAGTTACTCGTATTACATCTCATCAGCTACTTTTTTTTATCAAATGATTTATCCAACCTCTATGTAAGCCCATGATATAATAATTTCTCTATTTTTATATATCATCACCATATTCGTAAATACAAGTGTCCGTTGTCCTTGGATGTACTATCATTCTAATATAAATCATCAACGTCGTTGTTTTAGATAGCAACTATAAAATCAAACTAGTACAGAGCCCGTGCATGATGCACGGGATGCACAATTTTAAGGCTATTTATCTAGACTTATAATAATATACATGAATAAAAAAAATGTACGGGATATATATAGTACTGACCTGTGCAAAGCACGAGATATATTTATTTGAAGAATATTATATTATAAGATGCAATATTCAATAAAAGTTTATAATACGCAAGAAAATTGTACAATGTTCAATAAAAGTTTTATAATATTCAAGTGGAGTCTTAAAGTCTCTTGTACATTAAGACTACTGACAAAATAATATTTTAATCAATGAGTTTTCTGTCCTTGTAGCCAAATTGTGAATGTGATTTGAGGAGTACAACAAATCTATATATAGCTGACTTGCTTTTTTCATTGTAGTTTTTTTTTTTTATAATGAATTTAAAGATATTCTAAAATATAGCAAAAATTAACTTTTTT